CTATCTATTTGGTGCCTGTTCATTTATATATGGAATGATGAAAATAATTCTTGCGATTCCATTTTGAAATAATTGTCTTTTTTTTTAATTCAAATTATAAAAAAAAATGAAAATTTTAAATTGAAGAATCATTATGAGGGAGAGTACTAAGAATTTTTCTCTCGAACATATATAGCCATGGAGTGCATTATCTCATCAATATCATCCTTGTGCTTACAGCCACTAATGTTAATAATGGGTTTTCATGTATAGCTTTTTTATCATCTTAGGACCATAGGATGATATATACGAGTAAGTGACACTTAACTAATCCATTATCTACCCCAAAAGAGCTGGCAAATAGTCGTTTTAACCTTTTAAATCTCATCTTCGTCATCCCCTTACGAAATCAAAACCCAAGAAAATGGACTCAGAAAGGCAGAAAGCATGGGTTAAAATCTACCAAACAAAAATCACAACCCAATTGATCTATGACTGAACATTAAATTTATAGTGATGGAGTTAATTAAACGATTCCCAATCAAACATGCATCCGCACATGATATCCACATGCTGCCACAAACCACACGTTGTAAGTATAAATATTAAATGTACATATCTTGATTTTTTTAAAAAAAAAAAACAACTGAAAAACAACAAATATATTGATTGATTGATCGAGGGAAATTCTTAGTAGTTAGTACCTTCACTAGATAGAGCCTCACCTAGCTAATTGATTTATTAATGTTGAATCTAGATTGTTGATAGGAAAATGTCTTGTCAACTTGAAAAATTATTGAATTTTCCACTGCTCACCAATGCACATGAACGGCCTTTAAGTCACTCTTATAAGGTTTACGTGCCAGAAAGAAGTTTGGTCCTTTTGGATGTGCGCTAACGTATAAGATGCTCTGCTTCTATCTAATTCAAATGACTGATACTAATAATTCAAATATGCAGGTAATTAAATCTATTTAAATGTTTAACAACTTCCTCTCTATTTTTTTATTTATTTTTTTTGTTTTGGTCATCTTCTACTAAAGTACTAATATGAAAAGAGGGATAACAAAAAAGGCGAGACTTCACATGCATGTTCTTATACTCGGACTTTGATACTTGGTAGGAACGCAGAAAATTGAACAGCATTACTATAATGATTAGGGTGTTGTGCATTTAAGTGGAGTTCATCGAAATAGAAATTCAATGAATTTATAATATGGAACTTCTTTCCGTACGTAAGTGGAGTTCAGTGATATGAATTCTTTTTTTTAAAAAAACAATTACTCGACATGAAAGACGTTGATGATAAAAATTAAATTAAAATCTTAAGATTTTGGGAGGAAGGTCGTAAACGGTACAAAATTAATCTGCTTGCCACTATACCAACTCTTACCACACAATGACAATGATACGAAACACAAGTGCACAACCAATCGAGTCCTTTCTTATCTCTCAGTCTAACAAACTAACCACACATTTATGTTTCTCCTAGTGTAGAAAATGAAAAGGCAACTTTTGGGTATTAGAGGGAAAAATTGACAATTCAACTAACATGAAAATAGCACTTTAACCAATCGGAAAAAAGTAGATGATAATAATTCTCCACTTTAGCCATGAGACATAGAAAGAAGGAACGTTCTAGAAATGAAACACCGGAAAAAAAAACATGGCAATTTTCACGCGTCGTAGAAATTCTGCAAGGGTAAATGGAAAGGCTTCGAGGCAAATAAGGCATCATTGAAATGGAGAAAATGCAGACTCGAGGGGAGAAAGAATAACGGCGCGGAGGATGGAGACGGGGATACTTTACGTGGACTGAAAGTGATGGCCACGTCGGAGATGACGTGCCAGGGGTCCCACCTGTTATCTCCGAATCTGACGACGGCTTCGCTTCACTCTCACGCTAACTTCTTTAAGGTAGTCCGTTCCTTTGTTGTAAGCTTGAAACTTATGTGGCGTTTGCAATTTTGAAAGAACTATTACGACTTTGATTTTTTTTTTTTTTCTTTCTTTCATTTTTTCTTCTTTGTAAACATTTTCCATGAAGTTTGAGGTTTAGTGGAGAAATAACCAGCTTTTGATATGCATATTTTGTTTCGTTTTTTCGGTGTGTATTTTTAAGTGTTTTTTTATTAGAAATTTAAAAATATGTATTAAAAATATAAAAAAGTATGGTGGGATGGAACAGTTATTAATTAATAATTATTGAGAAACCATAAAAAAAAAAAAACAAACAAAGCCTTTCATCCTGCAATTAGTTTTTTTTTTCCTTCTTTTTTTATAGAAAAAAAGGCACGACATCACAACAATGTCAACAACGTAGTGATTAACTGGAATTATGTAGAAGGTCCATTCTGTCACCACTCTCTCGATAGCTCACTGGCTCCGCAATTGACGAAACATTGTCGCACACATAATCTATCCCCGTTCTAGTGTGTTTCTTTTTGTTGTTTTTAATTTTTATTGCTTTTGTTTTTTACTTGAACTATACATTTTATTATACTATTTTAATTCAACAAATTCACCATTAAAGTAAAATTTACATTAAACACTCCTTTAGTAATGATAAATACACTAGATTCAGGATTAAACAAAACTACAAAGATAATTAAAATGTACTCCTAACTCTTAAAAAAGGAATAGTAGTTTTTCAATTGAAAAGGAATAGTATTTTTAAAATTTAACTATTTCATAATGGTATTAAAATGTACTCCTCACTCTTAAAACCGAATAGTATATATATATTTTTTAATTGAACTATCTCATTATATTTTTGGTTCTGAATTTTGTTTGATACCACTGCTACCACTATTATAATCATTCAACTAACCAAAGATGATCTTTTTGTCTTTATAACAAAGGAAAAACAAACAAAGAGAAAAAATAAAAAATTTTGTATGGAATGGGACCTGGGAGTATTTGTCTCTATATCTACATGCCACTAATCCATTCTATCATGCTAATCCTTTACAATGTGGCAGTTAGTTTATTCTAATGATAAAATAAATAAATTTAGGGGTGGCAATGGATAAGAATGATTAACTTCATTTGGAAAATTACACTATTCATTTTCTATATATATTTAGTGTAATGAGTAGCATTATAATGGCCTTTGAAGACTTTTCTTGATATGTTCTATTATTTTAGAGTTTATTTTATTGTTAAGCATTTTGATAGGTTCATGTCCATTTTCCGCCCAATAATACTTGTCCATACATTTCAAGTCTCAATTATATTTTTTTGTTGAGCAAGTTAATAATTTTCTTTCCTCGACGTAGAAAGAACTAATATCACAGATTGGATTATTTTATGCAGGGTAATACATTAGGCACCATTTTCTTTTGTATTAACAAAAATAAATAAATAAAAATTCCAGGACATCTAAAAAAATGAGACATCAATATCGCATCCGAACTAATCTTCAATCAAGGCGGAGAGAATCTATCTTGTTTGTTAAAGATGATCTTACATTTTGGTTCAAGGAATAAATAAAACCTCCATAAAGGCAAAAACCGTGCTTCATTTTTCATATCATTTTTCCGTGTGAAAACAATTTTTATGTAGTGGAATTCGAATCTTAGACTTGTCTCTCCCTCTTGTAAATCCAAAAAAAAAAAAAAAAAAAAGAAAAAAGAAAAAAAAGGAGGTTTCTAAATGCTAAGTAATCAATTATGCCAGGACCCCTTTCTTTGATCTTCAAGATCTCAATGTAATGAATATGTGAGGTTGGTCCATCACCCCAACTTCAAGTATTTTTATTCTTCCTTATCAAAAGGACCACATTGGAACATCATCCTAATCTGGTCCATTGAAATTAAATGATGGAGATACCTATGGTTCATACTTCACAAACTATATCTTATTTTGTAGACAATTCCAGAGGTTCACGTTTGTTAAAGGTCACAGAAGTTTTTGCATATTTATGTCATGTCATTTCCTTTTGAAACTAGTTAAATTGTATAGATGGATCCTGGATGGAACATGTAAGAGAAAACACAGAAAAAAAAAAACACGATTAGTAATCTTATATAACATATTATACGAATTAATTATAACAATAATTTAATTTTCTCTCTATTTGAGATTCGAATCCTCGACCTCTCAACTAAGTCGAGGGGTGGTTGTTGATCAATCATCCCATATATGCGTCCAATTTACAAGGTCAAAAGTGTTCCTGGTTTTTCAAGTGTCGATGAGACGATAACGCAGGCGTGCCAATACTGTAGAAAAGACAATGAAAAGGAGAAACTAAAAAAAAAAAAAAAAATCTAAGGTGACTGCCCACTGGTTTCCAATTTCCAATTTCAATTGGTCAACCTAACTCTTCTTTCCAATCATTCAACAAACAAGACAACACCTGTCAGTGGCTTAGATTGCGGCTGCGTACGTGTCGAGAGAACATTGGGTACCTGGCCTAAAATCCACGGACAGATGTCAGTTTTATCAAATAAATACTTCTGGCGTGTCAGGAGCCCGTTGGATTAGGATGTGCTTATAGTCAATTTCTGAAAAAAAAAAAAAAAATTTCCCAGATGCAGAAAGAGAATGGACCGTTTCAATGTAAAAACTTTCTTTGAAAAATAGGTAGAAACTATGAAATCATTAATATTTATCGTTCAACCACATATATATTTTAGTTCCGAAAAAAAGTTTTACTATCTCGGTCCAAAAAATAATTATCCACGTTAAGTTTTGAGATTAAAGAAAGCATATGATATTCATTTTATCTCATAATTATAATAACATTTTACTAGTAATAAAGTTATTTTATTTTTTTTTGATTCTTAGTAAAATATAATGCGTAAATTTTATTATTATTATTTTTGATAATGCGTAAATTTATACTAATACTATTTGTTTCTACTCGTTCCGTCTCATCTCACTGTATTCAATTTATTATATTAGTATTTTATTTTTACGATGAATCAAGAAGTAATACTAACTTTAAGCAAAAAATATGACATGCCATCTTTTTAAAGGAAACAATTAGAAAAATGATAATCATTTTGAGAAGGAAATAGGCCACACATTATTTATTTGAGAACTTCAAATTTTGAGAAGAAGCTCCAATGAGAACGAGAAATGGAAGAATTATCAAGCAAGTTAAAAAAAAAAAAGTGGACTTTAACTAGTAAAATATTCGGAAGAATTCAAGATTAAAATATTAACGAAGATAAGAGAAGCAGTGGTTCAAGGCCTTTATAAGGGCACCGAGACTCACTCCAATCTGCAAGAGTGAAAAAAACTAAAGCGAGGCCACTTCCAAATTTGAGAGTGTTTGTACTTTGTTTTCTTTTCTTTTCCCCCCTTTCTCTAATCATCCCCGCTTCTGTGATCCCTTTCTGTCATCGTCTGTCTTTCAAGAACATAAATTTGTGTGCACAATTTCAAAAGGGTTTGTTTTTGTTTTGATATTTTGAATTGAAAAATTTCAACTCATCATACCTCCCTTTGAAGGGTGTTTTACTTTGAAAGCCAGGTGATTCAGAATAGAGATCCTTTTGTAGTTTTAATCAGTTTTCTTTGGTAAAGTTTTAGTCTTTTTGTTGTTTCTTGGTGTAGATTATCAGCTTCTTTTTAATCAGAAACTAACTAAAGAGGGTCTGTTTTTTTACCATCCCTCTTGAGGATATTATCAAAGGGTTCTTTATTTTGGAAACCACTTTGTTGATCCTTGATTTTGCTTTTTTCTTGTAGCAAATATCTGTCTTTTTTTGTTTGTGTTTGTGGTTTTGGGTCAGGTTTAAGTTATGGCAGCGGCAATAGAAATGTACAATTGTAACAGTAGTTCAGTTTTCTCAACAGATCCCTTGAGGGAAGAGCTAATGAAAGCATTAGTACCTTTTATAAAAGATGCTTCTTTTCCATCATCTCCATCTTCTTCTTCTTCTCCTCCTTCAACCTCTTATTCTTTCTCTTCTCCTTCTTCTTCTTCTTCCTTCCCTTTTGATTCTTCTTCTTTCTCTTCTTCTGCTGAGGCCAATTTCTACACTAACTTTTGCTCAATCCCATCAGCAACCCCATTATTTTCACAAGGGTTGTCTAGTTTTGTTGATCCAATGGGATATGAGCAAACAGGTTCAATTGGTCTCAACCTTCTCAACCCAGCTCAGATCCTTCAAATCCAAGCTCAAATCCAAGCTCAACAACAACAGCAGAAACAGTATTTTGCTTCACTGTCAAATTCTACTGCACCATCATCATATCTCCAAAGGTATGGACAGTTCCAGCATCAAAAGCAATCACCTTTGAGTAGTTTTCTTGGTCCTAAGTCTATTCCAATGAAGCATATGGGCCCTCCCCTCAAGCCAACAAAGCTTTACAGGGGAGTGAGACAGAGGCATTGGGGAAAATGGGTTGCTGAGATAAGACTCCCTAAGAACAGGACAAGGCTTTGGCTTGGGACATTTGACACAGCTGAAGAAGCTGCCTTGGCTTATGATAAGGCTGCTTACAAGCTGAGAGGGGAATATGCAAGGCTTAATTTCCCCAACCTGAGGCATCAATTGAGCCAAGATTTTGGTGATTGTAAGCCTTTGCATTCCTCTGTTGATGCTAAGCTTGAAGCCATTTGTCAGAGCTTGAAACAGGGGAATTCAGGGCAATCCAAAACAGGGGTCTCAACTCCAGCAAAACAGACAAAGGGTACAATTGCAAAGAAGGAGAATGAAACCTTTGACGATTCATTGAATCATGGTGAACTTTGCTCAGTTTATCCAGGAAATGAGGACATCAAGGTGGAGTCTTTATCATCATCATCGTCATCATCATCATCACCATCAAGATCTGAAGAAACAACCACAACATCATCAGGGCTGGAGATGTCTTCACCTGAATCTGAAAACAATACCATCCTTCATTTCCCTGAACCCACCTTTGATGAAATGGAGAATTTCATGTTGCAAAAGTACCCATCAGTGGAGATTGATTGGGCTTCTCTATATAGTTCTATGTAATTTAGTAGTATTATTATTAGTTTTTAAGTAATTTCTCCAGTTTGTAATAAGTTAGATGAATCCCCTAGAGCGTCAACTATGGCTTCTGCAATGGTATTTTTGACATCTGCAGAAATCATGGTGGTCTATTGTAATTACTCGTCAGAGTCTGTGTAAAAAAATTTCCAGATTTGGTCTGCTGGCATTTTTTCAAAGGCAAGACCAAGATGGATCTATTTTCTCTAGTGATATATCTATGTCCTTTCCTAGTATTATCTCTAGAGATCTGTTATTATTATCATTACTATAAAATTCAGCTCAGCTTCTGTATTCTTTATACTGTTTGAACCAAAAAAGTAAAAAAGCCATGAACAAGTGTGGAGCTGTACTTTGTTTATGTCACGACCTTTCTGATTTTAAGTATCTGCAAGGATGGCGAAAACGTTACATTGAATTTTGTGCCGATTAATTAACTTGATCGCAGGTTTAACCGGAAAAATTGATGTTGGTTATACCTTGGTGCAGCCAAGCTACGAACTTAATAGTAAAAAAATCCCATCAGCTGTAAAAATATTAAGTTATTTTACATTACAATTGGCACAAAAGTCAATGGGTTGAATCCTGGAATTGCTTCTTCTGATTCGTGACCTGAAGCCAGGTACCGAATTTTCTCTTGAGTTTTTTCTGACCCTGAATTCAGAGGAAAAAAAGAAAACGAAAAAACAGATCTTGAGTTTCGCAGTCGAATTAATTAAAGCAAAATATCACTATGAAATGAGGCAGATAGAGTAAATAAATGACTATGAAATACTGAAATTAGTCTTATGCTGTCACTCAATCATACATGTGAACCTGCTTGAGCATTTCCTACGATTGAAATCAGGAATGCACAATTTTACACCACATTTAAAAGATTCTGATGCTCATTCCAAGAAAATATTTTATATATACTAGTTTATTTGTAGTCGCATGCTGTGCGACCAGTTTGCATTTACAGTGTACTGAATAAATTTCAAATATTAGCTGCTTCATACAAAATATATTTGTTTTAAATTTTGAGATAAATAATTTGAGAAAATTTGGTTAAAGAGCATTAGAATAGATTAAATTAATAAAAAGGGCATGGTCTTAAAATATCTTTTATGAAGGCGATAACTTATTTGTCAAAAAAAAAAACAAAAATACTTTAAATTGACAATAATACCCTTACCTTATAAGGTTATAATATCTTACCAAAAAAAAAAATTAATAATAATAAACCAAAAGCCAAAATCGACGATGAGAATCCTATTCGTGTCTATCTCTTCTTTTTTCTTCCCTGAAATTGAGAGTTTTTTTTTTTTTTTTGTGTGTGTGGAAAGTTAATTGATTTAGGTTTTAAGACTGAAGTAGAAAACCGAATTATTCAAGAATGTTCTTTTTCCATGGATAATACTTGAGGTCCACTACAAAGTTATTCACATCAGGAACCCAGATTTCTTCATATTTTCAAGCCCCAAGCGCAAGCAATTGGGCGCAGAATTTCCCCGTCACTGGTCCTTGTTGGATCGAAACACAAAACTATCAATAAAGGGATGATTAATTAAACAATAATGGTATTTGCTCCTTTGAGTTTGAATCCTTCTCTCCTTGATTTGTTTTTTTCTTTATTTTTTCCTACCCTCTGCGGGATAGGCATGCCAATAAACCTTGAGCCGATTACGAGAAAAATCAGAGCAATTAGCTAAAGAAGCCAAAGCAGAATTTCAAAAGATTCAAAAAATTTGAGAGAAGTTCAGGTATTTAAAAGGGGCATTGGAAAGCGACCAAGAAGATTAGGAAGAGCATAAACCAGAGTAATTCAGGAGATTAATTTTTATTATGTGAATTTCACTTTGTAAAAGGGTAATAAAAAATAAGGGTAATTAAGTAATTATAAAAGTATATTTATTTTGAGATTTTTAACAAATAAATTACTACCCTTCATACAAAATATTTTAAAGTCATACCCCTTTTATTAATTTGACAAGTTCTACTGTCCTTTAAACAAATTTTCCCAAATAATTTTAAAAAATAAAAAGTTTATTACGCTAATGAAAATTTTACTACATACGGTTAAAAGATAGAGTTATTGTGCCATGAATTGAAAGATCTTAAAAAAGAACATTTCTAATAAAGAAAAAGGTAATAGCACTTTTCACGATCAGAGTGCTAATACAACTTACAATCATGATAATTTCGCAATCAGTATGTAACTCTTACTAGATGTTTGGCCCAGACAGATGGCCGGACGCCTCTTCTAAATTACTATTTTATTAAAATCTAATTGAATTACTATTTTTTGAGGAATTAATTTGGTGTATATATCATTTAAGCTATGATTTGAGGCTTAAAAAAATATACCTATAAATCTGAGGTTATAAGGGAATAATAAATAATTAGTTTATAAAGCATTATTCTTAATTGCTGGATTTAGGTATTTTTATTTTTTATTTATATTAAGCCTGCAAAACTATACGATTGGACATTTGAATTTGAATTAATATATCCATTCGTTTGAAATGTAACTGATCCTTATTTGTAGTAAAACATGTGTTTTTTTAAAAAAAAAAAATTATATAACTTCTAATTAAAAGAGACTTATACGTGGCAAAAAGACTCCTGAAATCTGAAATATGGTGCATTGGAGCCAAAACAGATGCATACTTAGTTGCCACATAAGCTTCATGTCTTCTGCTTTAATAGGGTAAAAGGGATAACTATTGTAACTCTTATAGAAAAAGGTCTCGTAACTCTTGTAATAATTTTGCAAGGTTATTTTGAAGAATCTAGCCATAGTTGTAGCAATCAGTATAGGAAAAAAAAATCTGTATATGGAGCTTATTAGTAGTTTTCTTGAGGAAAAAATTTCAAGATGCATGTATACGTGTAGTCTGATGTGATGCTCGGATGTTTTTATCTTTTGTTTCTATGCATATTTTCTATCTATAATAATAAGCTAATATAAAAGTCATACTTGACAAATAATTTCTTGCGATCTGATTGGTCAGCAGGTCGTCACGTGACATCATTCTCGTGTCAAGATTACATCATATTTTTAATTGGGGAGGGGGTGAAAGCTACTAAATAGACATTAGCTTAAAAAATCAGCTTACATTTTATTTTGCCACTTAAAAGTGGAAAGTGTTTCAAGTTGAAAACTAATGGGAAATGAAAATGTTATTTGGATGATATTTTGAGAAAAAGTTGTTTGGATGTTGGTTTTGAAAAAAAATATATTTTAAACTACATTTTGAAATATCAAGTACAAATCATCACTAAACAATTAAATACTGTCAATTATAGTCACTTTAAAAAAAAATATTTCTAAAAACAATCACTAAACAACGAAATCTTGCCAAATTTGTCACTGAACTATTGTTAGTTCTAAAATGGTCATTATACTAACAAAAAGTATTTCAAGTTGGAATTTAAAATGTAAATCAGAATGTTGTTTGGATGATGTTTTCTTTTCCATTGAGTTTTGTGTTAAGAGGTAAAATGAGTGAAAATGTAAAATGAGTTGTGAAACAAACAAACACAAATATTTCCCATGACCCCCATGTGAAAAAACGTCTTCGTTTCGAAGTCAAAATTTCTATTATGGGCGTAAATGTCATTATCAAATTTGTGTTTAAATTTTACCCCAAAACCCCCTTTTCAGCACGCCAACCCTTTTTTTAAGGGGTGGGATTTCCAGCCACCAAGATTACTACTTGAAACTACCATTTTTTAAGAATTTCCATTTTGCCCCTGTCATTTTGTCCAAACCCAGAAGAAGTAGAGAAAGAGGAAGAGGGGGAGAGAGAGAGAATAAGCCACTCGGACCGAACCGGACAAGTCATCCGGTCCGATTCACGTGAGAATGGACAAATTATTAATTTTTATTTTAATGTTAGTTTATTCGCAGTATCGTTACATGTTGAATACCTGGTACTTTAAATATTATAACAATATTTATACTTTAGTGCTTAAACTCTCGATTTATATTTACTTGAAAATAAACAAGTAATTAATTTTTACTTGAAAACAAATTTAAGATTATTTGTTAAGTTAATTTATTTGAATTGATATTAAAATATAAATTTTGCTTTAATCATTATTTTAAAGATAATTTTTAGTTAAAATAATAATTATACATTTATAATGGAAAATAATAATTGTACTACAAAGATAGTGACAAATAGATTAACTATTTTTTGTACTACAAAGATTGGTGATATTTAATGTAACTCAAATAATAAATTATTCATAAATTTAATGACCAAAAAACTAGATTAACTAATTACAACAAAAAATCTAAAAATTTGAAAAATAGCAATGAATCCGATTGATATTTTTTAATTTTTAGACTTTTTTAAATAACAAATATTTCTATTTTTTAATTACAAAAAAAAATTTAAAAATTGAAAAAAAGGCCTTACTGGTCCGGTTCACCATATCGGACTGAACTGGGACCAGCCAAGCAATGAAACCGTCCCGAGTTAACCCGTCCCACTACAATGAGTCGAATTGCAAGTCTACTTGCCAGAGTCCTAGTTCAAATGAAAATAAATGACAAAATGTCAGAGGAAATATGGTTTAAAGACGAGAAAGGTATAGTTCAGAAGCAGCAAGTTCGCTACGAGTGGAAGCTAGTTAAATGCTTGAACTGCAAAGGTTATGGGCATGAAACTGCAATGTGTAGGAAACCAGTGGTGCAGGCTTAGAAAGGGAAACAAAAATGAAACAACAAGAACAGACCAAGCCAGTGGAGTAAATGAAGAATCAGAATGTGAAAGTATGTAATAGACCAGAAAGTGATAGTAATGCAGAGATGGTAATAAGTTAGAAAGCAAAAGCAACTGGGCTGAAAGGGATAAAACATGAGCAAACCCAGGCAGCAGGAAATGGTAATTAGGCTTAAAAGACTATACAGACTCAACAGAGAAAGGAACATGAGCAGATGCAAGGCAAGGTAGATATCCAATAGAAGCAGACAAGCAGAACCAAAGGAAGTGAAACTAGATCCCCTCTTACAGGGACTAGTATCAATGAATATACTTGGCTGGAATGTTAGATGACTGAATAGCCCTCTAAAACATAGAGAGATCGAAAGCTTTCTCTCTATTAATAAAGTAGGAATAGCTGGCCTTTTTGACACAAAACTGAATGCAAGAAAAGTGGAGGATCTTATGGGGAAATGGAGTCAATATGAGTACATTAGCAATCATCAACAGGAACCGAAAGGAAGAATATTATTAGTATAGAAGAAAGGGGAATATAGAGTGTCCAATGTAGTTTTTAAATAGCAGTGGATACTAGATACTGTAAGAGAAGTGTGAAGTTAGAAGGGATTTGAATTAACTATGGTTTATGCATATCATCAGAAGCATGGAAGA